GGGGGGCCAGCCGGCAGAGCGCGGGGGCGCCAGCCCGAGGCCGAGGGTGGCGCCCCCGCGCCCGTGCCGTCCTCTGTGCCAGAGGGAGAGGGGACTTACAAGCGAGAAGAGCACGGTTCCGAGGCCAGCGTACAGTAGATGCAGCCACTGCAGAGGAAAGGAAACGGCTGCATGTTAAGAACAAGACGCGAAGTGACCAAAGGGCACCCGTAGGGCGCTGCTTCGATGGGACCCAGTCTTAAGAAAGTCCCATCTGTTTGAACAGGATCAGTCAACAGCGTCCACCCGATTCCACTCAGCAAGCGCCTGGGAGCCAGCCTGGCGTGCGCCAAGTAAGGCTCGCGAAGCTGGTGCGTGGGTAGGACACGGAGCCCTTCCCGAGGACCGGCGCCCCTCAGCGCCGGGACCANAGCAGCAGCCGGTCCGGCCGCACCCGCCAGGACCGGCCAGGCCCAGGCCGGCGAGCGCCGTGCTCGGGGCGGAGGGCCCAGCGGCAGAGGCTGTTGCCTCACTAGCCGGTGCCGCAGCTGTTCCTGTGCCACTCAGCCCAAGGGAGGAAGGTGCCCTTCCCAAGCCCGTGAATCCTGGCTCCTCTGGAAGCTCCGCGAGATTGCCCTGGGTCTCTGCCCCGAGCTAGCCTGAGCAGTATCTGTCTGCTCCTTGCAACCAAAACAGCCCTGGTCGCAGCAGGAGACTGGTCTAGATGCCAAGGGTTGGCTCTGGCCGGGGAGGGGATGGGGGCGTGGCGTGTAACATCTGAGAAAAGCAGTTCCTTCGCTCTTCAGGACAGGCAAGCGGGCCCTGGCAGGAGGGGCAGAGTGCTCCGCTCCCCGGGAAGGGCCTTGGTGGAGGAGGGGCCCTGGGGTCAGTGGCGGCGAGGCACAGCGTTTCCTCACGGAGCGAATGGTCAGCAAGCGTCTGGGTGCCGGGATGTGAAGGATTTAAAGCTGCCAGTCAGACAAGCGCGTGAACTTAGGACAAGGCCCTGTCAAAGTCTTCCACTTACACGTAGGTGTAAGGTTAAATATGCTGGATATTTGTGAAAGGAATTTTATATTTTAATCTTTTTATGTATTGATTAGAGAGAGAGAGAGAGAGAGAAACATGGATTTGTTGTCCCACTTATTTATGCATTCACTGGTTGGTACGTGCCCTGACCTGGGGGTCAAATCTGCAACCTTGGGTCATATCGGGACAACGCTCTAACCAACTGCACTGCCCGGCCAGGGTGTGAAAGGGAATTTAGAATGGGAAGTAGGGTTCATCTATCTAGTAGGAGACGGTTTTCTTAACTGCATCTATTGTAAAGGCCTGTGGAACCCACCTAATAAATATTTGTATTATTACTACCAATGTCTGTGCTACCATCAACAATAATAAGTGGAGCACTCTGGCCTTTTAAGGTATATCCTTGTCATGTCTTTGACTTTGTCTCTAAAATACAGATGCTACCTCCAAAGCTAGAAGCCTATATAGTCATTCATAAAGCTAAACCCACTCAGGCAGAACCGTTGGTTATATTTCTGAAATCGTTGAAATAAGGAGCCTCCTCTAGGCTGCTGTTGGAAAAGTCCTAACAAGCCCATCTCCCCACTCCCATAACTTCAAACAAGCAGCAACCAGGGAGTCGGATGTACCCTGTGGGTGGGTTCACCCTGAGCCCCTCTTAGCGCAGGACAGCTGGAGTCGAGGTCAGGGGCTCCAGCAGCATGCCCCAGGCCTCCTGTCCATGGCACCTCCAACCACACCACGCCAGGGGGCCACTAGGACCGGCCTCAGACCTGCAGCTACTGGGAGGGCGTGTCACCAACACAGGCCCGCTGCAGTTTGCTCCTGGGCCACGCTTCCACTTCCCTCATTGGTGGGAACAGCAGGGCCCTTCCTGGGAGACACGGGACCACTGCGCTGTGATGGTCGACTTCAGCTCCAGACATTCCTGGTGGCCTTGCTGAGCCTTCCGCAGGCTGGAATGCTCCCACCGACCCCCGTCCCTGCCCTTCACTTGGGGTCACATTTGCCGTCGTGGTCCGACAGCTCTTCCAGCCTCCATCAGCTCCCCCACCCCTCTTCTCTTGCAGAAATTTCTCCCACAAAGGTCCTCCCATTCCCCTCTCAGTGTCTGCTTCTGAGAAGGTCCATTGTGACCCCACCAGCACTTCACCCCCGATTCCTAGCCGTTCCCGGAGATTTCGGGGTGCGAGCCCCACTTACATATGACTGTATGAAGAGTAAGAGGATCCCGTAGAGAAGAAGCACAATGAGTGAGACGAAGAGCACTCCGTTTAGCAGGGTGAAGTCCAGCTGAGGAAACACAACACAAGGCCCAGCTCAACACTGTCTGCACAGAGTTCCAGGGTGTTTCGAGGTGCGCCTAATACCCCACAGGCAGAAACTCGCCCATTTGCCAATAATTTCCCCAGGCCAGTTCCAAGAACCGTGGAAAGCCATCAGCCCCAACCCCTGAAGACAGGACATAAAAAGTGCCGTATGGCCTGGGACTTGCTGCTGGCGGAGAAGAGGGCAGGACTGTGGATGAAATAATAGGCACCCCAAGGTGATATTGTTGGAACCGGGTAGTGGGTACATGGGGGTTCATTAAACTACCCTAGTTCTGTACTTATATAAAATTCTCCTTAATAAAAAGATACAGTGAATGAGTGGGATGTACATAATTATCATAATTACTCATATTTTAAAAGTGTGTGCATAGAATACGTTAATGAAATAAAACAAACCAAGAGGTTTACTGAGTACATTTTTCACATTTGTGTGCATAACTTTGAATAAAAAATATATATACTAAGCTTTCAAAAATTACTATTAATGATAATTTTGTAATTTTGAAGTTTATGAATATGCTTTTTGGTTTTGCCTTTATAAATCAGTGACCAAATCAGCCCAGTGGGGAGGGGGGTGGCGGAGGGATTAAGATTTTTTTAAAGAAAGGAGAATATTCATCCTCTGGCCTGAAAAACTGGGGATTATACAACAAAAGAGGATCCTTGAATCCAAGACATTTTCTTGCAAGAGCTTTTTCCTAGCTCCTCTGTTTCTGCCCTCCCTACCCTAACACACCAAGGAGTGTAACTGGAGTCCTGCATCACCCAGCAGCAGCAGCACCACCTGGGAAACGCAGATTGCTGGGTCCCCCCAGCCCTTCAAGTCCAGGGGTGGAGCCAGCAGTCTGTGGCTTAACAGGCTTCCCAGGTGATTCTGAGGCTGCCCAAAGCTCGTCCACGGCTGTGCTGCCAACACGTGTGGCTACCGAGCACTCGGAACGCGGCTCGTCCAACTTGAGATGTGCTATCAGTATAAAATACACACTGGATTTGAATTTTAATTCAAAAAAAGAATGTAAACTGGCTCGTTAATATTTTTGTCATGTCAGTTGCTTGTTGAAATGATAATGCTTTGCATATATTGGGTGGAATATTAAAATTCACTTCACCTATTTCTTTTTTTTCAGTGTGGTTCCTGGGAAAGCCAGAGGCTGGGAGAGGGGCCCTGGAGGTGAGTCCCGGGGGTCGGCAGAGAGGAGAGTGGGGGGAGGAGAGGGGCAGGAGGGGCAGAGGAGCACGTCCACACACTCCCGTGTGACAGAAACCCGTTCCAATAATACGTACTTTTGTCTGAAGGGCAAATAAAGTGAGCGATAACGTCACCAGAGCGGTTGCTGCCGTGGCCCATAACACCTCCTCAGCGTTATAGAAGCTAGAACCAGAGACTGGATTACTCTTCACGGACAACCGATGATTGTTCACATGCAAAGCACACGCACAGAAGAAAATGTGTATCAAAGACTTACACTGCTACGGCTCCTAGCAGAAGACCTTGAAGAACTGTCTAAAAACAAAATGCACAGTCAGAAGCTTGATTCCTGAAGCCCAGCACCGGAGGAGATGGCTGGACTGTGTACATGTGTGTGCATGCGTGTGTGTGCATGCATGTGTGTGTGTGTTGGCGGGGTCTAGGGAGCAAGTGGGAATTCGCACAACCCTAGCACACAAGCTACAGGGCAAATGATTATTAAAAACATTAAACAGTACAACTAAACATTTCCTTAACATTCTCCCTAAGACTAACAAGAGAAAATTCTTTTATTAGTAAAAATGTTTTAGGACACAATAGCCACTTTCAGTATATTTAGTGAATTAAACGTGTATTGATTAGGAATGTGGACAGCAACTTAAAGGGTTCATCTGTAGCCCACGTCGTCGTTCATGGGACGGGGCGTCCACACGGAACTGAAACATTGTACCGGAGCAGGATGTGCTGCGCCTGCTGTGGCTCCACCAAGGGCTTCAGCGTTGGCCTTTCCCAGGTGCGGGGTGAGAATAAAATGCTCCTGGAACCTCAGAGGCGGGAGGAAGAGTGAGACCCGCTGGGTAGGAGGGGCGGGTGGACGGCACTCGGCACAGAGCACGAGCCGCACCTGCAGGCGCCCACCCGGGGCTGGAGGAGAGCTGCCCGGGGCTGCCTCAGGCCGCAGGCTCCCAGGGCCAGCAGGGGCCAGGGGTGGGCAGCCACCAGGAGGATGTGCCCACAGGCAGCCACCAGGAGGATGTGCCTGCGGGCAGCCAGGCTCCAGGTCGGCGGGCAGGCCCGTGAGAACTGAATGAGCAGGGAGCAGCTGGGGGCCTGGGGACATACCCTAGCGGGCGGGACGCTCCATCAGAGGTGAATCCAGACACTGCTGACCCGCCAGAGCCAGAAAAGAATCAACCCTCCAGTCACGGGGAATGAAAATGAGGACACATCCTAACGGCAGTGCCAGGACTGGTGGGAGGTGGGCCTACGAGGCTCAGGATGAGAGCCTGGAAAGCCCCCGGCTCCTGACAGCCCTGGATTGCCTCTCCGTGTCCCAACCCGGTGAGTAAGGGCCTGCTTTGTTCAATGTACCAAGTAGGCTGTCTTTATTTCCGTTATAGGTTAAAAGAAAAAGTGTATCCCTCTGGCCAGGTGGCTCAGTTGGTTGGAGCGCCGTCCCTACACCAGAAGTTTGCGGGTGGGATTTCCAGTCTGGGCGCAGATATGGGAGGCAGCCGATGGGTGTTTCTCNCAGAAGTTTGCGGGTGGGATTTCCAGTCGGGGCGCAGATATGGGAGGCAGCCGATGGATGTTTCTTTCACATCTCTCTCTTGCTCGCTCTGCCTCTTTCTTTCCCTCTCCCTCTAAAATCAATAAACAGATCCTCGGGTGAGGATTTAAATATATATAATCATGTGTACGTGGAATAGATACACTTTTCAAAAAATTCTAACCCGAGAATATGTGTTTTTTTAATTTTTACTTTTATTTATTTTTATTTTAGAGAGAGAGAGAGAAACATCAATCAGTTGCCTCCTCCACATGCCCTCACTGGAAATCGAACCCGCAACCTTTTGGTGTACAAGAGGATGCTCCAACCAACAGAGCCACCTGGCCAGGGCGTACGTGATATTTTAATGTGTTTGCTTCTGCCCTCCCTCTCAAGGTTATTTTCTTCTACTTGCTCAATTGTTCCACACTTCTCCATCTTCAGGAGCACGTGGAGGAAGTCTGTGTGTGTGAGAGGGAGAGAGGGGGGAGGGAGGGGTGGGGGAAGGAGAGGAATGATTTCAAGCTGGAGCCCCAAGAACAGACAGTGAGTAAAAAGAGGCCTTGGAAGGCAAACCTGCTGATGGCCTCAAGAGCTCAGAGCACCGGCTCAAGGGGCCACAGCTCCATGGGACAGAAGCAGTCTTCAGTGTGGAAGTGTTTTCCTTTTTCCCTCAAGTCCTTTACTGAAATGGTTTTCTCCATATATTTCCTAACACTTGGGCAAGACATAAAGTCTGGAAAATATAACTAATTCTTACCCTTCAACAATATCTCTTCTCTTAAGCTTTACCTGCTTTGGGATAAATGGCAAAACCTCAGAGACGAGAGCTTCTTTTAAGACCTGTAGCTTTGATCTCTTCTTGTAATAATAATAATAAAATTAAAACCACAGAAATTTTTAAAATAAAAAATTCAAAAATTTCTGGGAAAATACCCCCCTCCCGGCCCCAGCCCCATCGCTTCTGCTCCAGGATTCTCAGCATCTTTCTGTTTGGCTTTTAGCCCCCACCCCCTTTCCGGAGTGTGGCTCCTGCAGGAACTCGGAGACCCAACTTGCTCACCTGGTCAGTGAGCAGGGTATCCACGCCAGCTAAGAAAGTGCCCAAATACGGGCATCAGAGAGCCAGTCTTCTCCAGCCTCGGGAAGAAGCTGTTCTCTTTGACATAGAAATCCCACTGGACCCTCTCTCTGCAGGGTAGGGACGTCTCACCGTTGGCCATGTGTCCTTGCTCACTCTGACCACCAGGAGGCGCAGCTCCAAACCTAGGCTCACCGGTGCGTAGGACTATGCCTTTTGTGCACTAACCTAACCACTGGATTTATTTTTCTACCCTTATTTTTTTCATCATATTTTTCTACCAATTTATCTTTTTTTTTTTTTTAATTTACCGAAGTCATACTTCATTGGATGAGTAACTGGAAATAAATTTGTCATTAACTTTGTGAAAATTTTGCTCGTTTCTAATGATCCCCACCAATTTATCTTCATTTATACTGTGGGTATTTTTATAAGCTACTTCAAATCTGATATGGAACCAGATGAAGAACAAATCAATTAGTAAATAAATCTTCACATTGGAGGGTGGTCAACAGTGCTTGGGAGGAAACCCCAACTGTCCCAGAAAGAATCACTTCTCAACATATTGGGTCACACTGAGACTGTTCTGGATTTTTCAAGAGAGCAAATGCTTACAAACGCTTATCAGTGAGTTTCAGAGAGATCACTGCCTAGGGAGGCGAGAGGTCTGGCCTGACTGGGAAGCAGAAAGAAGAGTCAGGGAAATAGGGAGCGATGCTTTGATGCTACTGAGTCCCCGAGGAGCCCTGTGATCTCCCCTGGGGTGGGATGGGGTAAAATGATAGAAATTCAGATTTTACTTAGGTTTTAAAAAATCTAGGAGCTCCAGGTACCTGGTGAGCACCTAGAGTCCCCATGGGCAGCACAGAAAGGGCTGGTGGCAAGAAAAGGAGCCACACAGGTTTCTGTGACCCAGAGCAGCACTGAGCCACAGAGAAAGGGCCCATGTGGTGAGGCCTGGTGAGTGGAAGCCCCACAAGGAGACGCTGGTGAAACAAGAACCAGACTATGGATAAAGGAGAAGAGCCAGGACCAGAAGCTCTAGGCCCCCAACTCTCCAGAACTGGAAAAGCCCCCCCTGGACTGAAAAGCAAGGTGGGGAAATAGGGAGAACCCAAGCTGAGATGGTTTCTGCTCCCAGTGAGACTTGAAATAGAAATACGATACATTTTACAAATATAAAGATAATTCTATTTCTTACAAGTTTGTGAACTAAATGTGGAAACTACTCTCCATAACAAAGTGTGTTTGTTGTGCCTCACGAGAGTCCAGGGGCGGTGAGGCTGACTATTCCTGAAATGCAGCCCAGAGGGGGGAGCAGGTTCCCCATGTGGCCTCCAAGAGCAGTAGCCCAGGGTCATTGAGACTGGAATCCAGCCAAGAGAATGTCTCACAAATAATTTCCGTCTGTATGATGCACAGGAAGGTTTTCCACAATGCAAGGAATGAATTTAATATTATGACAAAAATATATTTCAGAGGTGAGCTGCGACAGGTGGTAACAAGGTTTACTTACAAATAATCCCAGGAGGATGTAATTGGCAGGCACCTGACGGCGGAGGTTCCCACAGCAAGCGAGTACAATAAGCACAACGAAAAACGCTGGGCTGGGGGTAATTTAAAACCATGTGTCACTTGCTTCCAATAATTATATCGTGTGATATAGGTAGAGATTATAGGTATCACTATATGATATTATCTGACAATAAGTATTATAAAGTAAACAAAAATGTGGATTATCTCCTTTACCTCTTTTTTTTTTTTTTAATTTTCAAAACTAGCTTTTCTCATTGTCATCTACAGACAGCTTGTAGGCTCATTTTAAAAAAAATTTTATTTTGAAATAATTGTGGATTCACAGGAAGTTGCAGAGGGACAGAGAAGTTCTGGGTACCCTTTACTTAGTTTCCCTTAATAGTTACATCTTACATTATTTATAGGATAATACTAACACCCAAACCAGTAATTTGATATTGGTACAGTGTGGCTATGTAGCACTATATCACAGAACTATGGCAGAAATCTATGTGAAGATACGTGTAACCAGCACTATAATCAAGGTGTGAAACTATCCCATCAATAAAACATCAACAAAGACCTCCCTGTTCCATCCCTTTATGGTACACACACACACACACACACACACACACACACACACACACACCCCTAAGCCCTGGAAACCACTAATTTGCTTGTTTCCCATCTCCATAATTTTGTCATTTCAAGGATGTTGTATCTTTGAGGGGGTGTGGAGGCTGAGGAGGGTATGGGGGGGATCAAAGGTGATGGGGGAAAAATAGCTATAAAAAAAGAATGTTATGTCTTTACTTAATTTTTAATGAAGAACCTCGAACCTCGATCAATAGCTAGTAGAAAAACCCACCTTTTACCGAACCCAGTAATACTTACAAGATTGCATAGGTGAACCAGGCATTCTTGCGCACCCAAGTTCTTAAATCTGTCCTGGTTTAAAAAAAAATCAATAGTTTTACTCAGTAAGTAGTTAACTTTGCTAATGAATGGAATACTTAAATAGAAGTAAAACCTTCTCCGGGGAAGGGGGAGCTAGACGATGGACGGTGGCAGCGGCGGGGCCCTCGGTGCTTCCCTAGCGTCCGTAAGGGCGACTTACCAGAAAACAAACACGCTGACAATCGCCCCGGTGACCATCAGCTGAGCCGACAGGAGGAGGAACACTTTCACGATGAAAGCTGAGGAGACAGAAACGTTATCTTCGTGACATAGTATTCGAAAAGGAAAATATAAAAGTAATTGCCTATTTTTGATCGTTAACAAAAATACGTTTCCTCTGACTTTTTGAGGATGGGAAAGGGAGCGCTAGTGCTGAGTCAGCCAACTGAATGCGCAGCTCCTGGGAAAGAGCCTGGGCTGCCCCAGGGGCTTTGTCGGAGGCCTGAGGGTTTGGCCACGGAAGCCCCAAGATTTTAAAAGACGAACTCAGGAACTTAGCCCCTTCTGATGTACATCCTTCCTCTTAGGCCCCAAAGTGATCTGAAAGTCACAGGATGTCGCAGACCCATTGTGGGGGTCCAGCCACATCCTTGGGCAGGATGGAGACCAGAGAACCTCAGGGACGGCTGGTAGAGTGGGCGTTTGCCTCTTGGGCTTGGGCCTGGCCTTGGACTTGGGCTGCAGGGAGTCTGCATAGCTTTTCCACCACTTTTCTCTCCCACCGCCTGCCTTTAGCGGCTCCCTTCCCTTCTACCTGTGCGAAGACCACACAGGTATGACCTGATCAATCATGAGCAAGAGCAAGGGGTTCCAGTGACCAGCATCCCCAGGCTGAGTGCAGAGGCATCTCTTTTGCTTACTCCCTACTGCACAGGTTTTCCTGGGGCCTCTGAGTGTGGCTTTATGCCAATTTTAAAAGGAAAAAAAGAAATGCTCTTAAAGTTGACTTAGAAGGTCACAACAGTGTCCTTTTGCTGGGTGGTTTCTGTGCATAGGACATGTGACAACGTAGAAATGGGCCTGCGCAATCGTAATGAAAATAGCAGAATATATATACCCAAATGTGTGCTGCCTACATTAAAATACTCATTCAGTTAACATTAATTTCACCTCTATGTATCAGGGACTGTAAGGGAATAAATATTAAATGTGGCCCGGCCTCATAAATAAATTCCATAGATAAATGGAATATAGCTGAAAATCCAGAAATAATTTCTTACATTTATGGTGAATTGATTTTGAACAAATGTGCCAGAACAATTCAATGAAGAATAAATAGTCTTTTCAACAAATGGCACTGGGACAACTGGACATACACATACCAAAGGATGAGTTTGCACCCCTTCCTCATGTAATACACAAAATCTATCAGTTACAAATGGACTATAGATAGGAACATAGTAAAACTCTTAGAAGGAAGCGTGGGTGTAAATCTCTGTGCGCATGGGTTAGGCAATGGCTTTTAAAGACTTGGCAACTAAAACACAAGCAAAGAGAGAAATAAACAGATAAACTGGATTGCATCAACAGTAAAAGCTTTGTGCTTCCAATGATACCACGAAGAAAGCAAAAGGAAACCCAGAATATGGAGAGAAAAAAACATTTGCAAATCATATCTTTGGTAAGGGACATATCTAGAATACATAAAGAATTGCAATTCAGTAACAAGAAGACAAATAACTTAAAAAGGGCAAAGCTTGTGTGGCTAGTGCCCTCCCACATTGATGCCGGCTTGTCCCCATGAAAAGTTGGCATGTGGAATACAAGCAGAGGCTTGATAAATGGCTCACACACTGGGGCTCGTCCACCTGGTACGCTTCTTCCTGGGACCCAGCTGCCATGTGATGAGAAGCTCAAGTCGCAAGAAGAGATCCACAGAACCAGCACCAACTACCAGCCGTGTCAGAGAGTCTTAATGGCCATTGTAGCTTCAGCCACCATCTGATTAAAACTGCATAGGAGCCTCCAATCACAACCAGCACAAGAACTGCCCAACAACGGAGCCCAGGCAACCCACAGAATGATGAGAGCTAGTAAAATGACTAGTTTGTTTTTTTCAATATATCTTTATTGATTTCACAAAGAGGAAGGGAGAGGGAGAGGGGGAGAGAGAGAAACACGTCCCCTACTGGAGTAATTGAATTACACACTTCAATTGAGCCTGCAACCCAGGCATGCGCCCTGACTGAGAATCAAACTGTAATCTCCTGGATCCTAGGTAAACCCTCAACCGCTGAGCCATGCCGGAGGGGTGATTGTTTTTTCTTAAAGTGGGCAAAGGATTTGAATAGACATTTCTGCAATGGCCAATAAGCATGTGAAAAGGTGCTCAACATCAGTTAGTCATGAGGAAAATACAAATCAAAACTGCAATGAGCAATCCCTTCACACGCACTAGAATGACTATAATAAAAAGACAAACAATAACAAATGTTGATGAGAATGCAGGGAAACAGAATTACTGCTCATACACTGCTGGTTGGAATGTAAAAAGGTACAGACTCTTTGAAAAACTTGGGTACTTCTTCATAATATTAAACATAAAGTTACCATACAGCTCAGCAATTCCTACCCAAGAGAAATGAAGGCATATGTCTACACAAAAACTTATATATGAATGTTGATCACAGCATTATTCATAATAGCCAAAAAGTGGAAACAACCTAAATGTCTGTCAACTAAGAAACAGATAAACAAAATGAGTTCTCTCCAGGCAAGGGAATATTATACAGCCATAAAGAAGGAATGAAGTACTGGCACATGCAACATGGGCAAACCTTGAAAACATTATGCTAAGTGAAAGAAGGCAGTCACAAATGGCCACATATAATATGATTCCATTTACATGAACTATCTAGGCTAGGCAAATCCATAGGGACAGGCGATAGCTAAGTGGTTGGCAGAGACCGCAGGGAGGAAAGGATGGGGAGTGACTGCTAATGGATGTGGGTTTCTTCTTGTTGCAATGGTTGCAAAACTCTGTAAATATACTAAAAGTAATTGAATTGTACACTTAAAAAGGGTGAAATTGACCAACCAGGGTGGCTCAGCAGTTGAGCATCAACCTATGATCCAGGAGATCAAGGTTCAATTCCCGGTCAGGGCCCATGCCCGGGTTTCGGGCTCACTCCCATGCCCAGGTTTCGGGCTCACTCCCAGCAGGGGGCGTGCAGGATGCAGCCGAATGACTCTCTCATCATTGATGTTTCTATCTCTCTCTCCCTCTCTCTGAAATCAATAAAAAAATATTTTTTAAAGAGGGGTGAGATTTATGGTATGTAAAATACATCTCCATAAAGCTTTTTCCAAAAATTGTAGCTCCCTAACCTTAATCCATTACCCTGCTATATGTTTCCTTTTTCTCCCCAGTACTTTCTTTCATCTTATTATAGGTTGTATAATTGGGGGGAGGGGGCTATGCCCCCAGGAGAGGCGGACACAAATACTAACTCTCAGGGGTGTGGAGGCTTTACATATGCTTTCAGTCATAGCCCCTTACGCCTCCGTTCCTCGTCCTGAAATGGCACCAGGATGACTTCATTCACAGGGCCGTAAGGACAAGATTCGGTAACCTTACCCTTGCGCAACACCCGGTGAGAAAGCGTTGGTAGCTGTGCCAGAGGTGGCTAGTTGCTTAGGGACGTCCATTCTCCCCAATTTCCTCTCTCTCTACCCCAGATCTTGTGAAAGGTGGCAACGGACCCGACTGAAAAGCCACAGGTGGAGGTGGCCATGTGGTCCAGGTCAGGTCAATGACAAGCAATTGGAAGCTCTTGGGTGTGGTTTCCGGGAAAGCCTCTGGACAGAGGTCAGGTTTGGAGGACACGCAGGGCATCTCTCCCTGAGTGGCAGCCCCTGGCGTTGTCAGGGAGGCAGACCAGCCGCGGTTTTTTGTTTTTGCCTCATGCCTTTTCCTACCTGGAAGGCCAGAGCTCCAGCTGCAAGGAGGGTGAGGGCCACGTGGAGACAGCAATGGCATCCGAAGCTCATGTTGTCTAGGCCCTAACAAGGCCTAAAGGTGGTCACGGAGACCTGTGGCATTTGCCTTGAAATTTTTACCTTTGAACTTCATAATTCATGAAAGAAAAATACTTTTCATTTATTTAAGCCACAGTTTTTTTCGGTTTCTTTACTCACAGCTGAATATATTTCCTGTACAGACTATCTAAGGCATTGAATTAATAATCTTTAACACTGAAGCTAATATCATAGTATTACATTGTATATAAGTAGGAACATTCTACAATTGATGACTAATTCATAATTCTTAAGAAAACCCCAAGTTTTTCACTCTAATATGTTTATCGGGAATTTCTGAATGCCCTGGGCAACCTGGGGGCGGTCTATCACAGCAGCCCTACCCCATGGTTCATGGAAAAGCATGGCTGGGAAGAACGAAAAGCAAAATTCAATCTTTCTGACAATCCGCCCTGTGAAAACATTTTAAAGAAAACACCTGCTTTTCTCTCCCCAAAAGGCGATTTCTTTACTCTCACCTCTGCGGACAGCCGCGTCTGAGAACGGGCTGGTGTTCACACTGCTATCATTGGGGCTGCTCTCGTCTGAAATTTGTACCACGTAGGAATCCGCTCGCTCACTGGTCTTCGAACTTGGTTTCCCTTGACTTTGCTCTGGCGCAGGTGGGGATGAAGTTTGGTAGGACTGTTTCGATTTGGTCTGGGTCTTATCACCCGCTGCTTTCCGGACCAGGTGTTGGTGATCTCCAGCACTGAGGTCTATTGGTTCCCTGACCTCCAAGTCTATTTCCCTGAAGGGGGAAGATTGTTATTGGGGTCTTTATGGTCATACCATAGCATCCTAACATTCACACGATTTCCCCTTAGGTTAACTCCCTTGGCTCAGTACTTACCGACTCAGTGTTCAATAAATACTTGCTGAATGAATGATGAATAAATACTTCTGAGATGATGCCTACAGAGTAAAACTATTTGCATCCTGTTATGAAGTTAAATGAATTCAGCAAGGAGTTCTAAGTTCCCTCTTACATGCCGAGTGCAGAGCTGCCCTCACCCCCTCGGCCCTCAGAGAGCTTACACGTTGGAAGGGAAGGTGACCAAGCAAACATTGGGACAAGCAGGGCCGGGAACCACGGAGGGTGGGGCAAGAGCCTCTAGCGAGTCTGGAAGGACGTGCAGGGAGCAGAAGAGGTTACCAGAAGCTCCCAGGAAAAGCGAGGTTTAAGTCAAGGCTGGAGATGAGTCGGAGTTAGTCAGGCGAAGAGCTGGGGAAAGGTTTTCCCGGGCAGAGGAATCAGCCTGGACCAGGACTGGAGGAAGCGGGGAAGGCAGGTTCCAGAAACTGAAAGAAGTTCCTGTGGCTGGAGCAGGGAGTTCAAAGGGAAGAGTGGCATGAGCTCCAGCAGAGGGGCAGTGGGGCAGGTCACTGACTGGCTGGCAAGCCAAGTGCATCCCGAAGGCCATGGCTGTGGTAGCCAGAACCAGGGTCCCCCAAAGATGTCCACATCCTAATCTCCGGAACCTATGAATACGTTACCTCACATGGCAAAAGGAAAGTTGCAGATGTGATTAAGTTAAGGACTTGGAGGTGGGGTAGGATCCTGGATGATCTGGGTGAGCCCAATAGAATCACAAGCGTCCTTGTGATTATGCTTCTCAGGGGAAGGCCGGGGGATCAGAGCCAGAGGAGGAGATGTGACCCCAGAGGCAGGGGTCTGAGTGATACAGCTGTTGTATGAAGATGGAGGAAGGGGCCGTGAGCCAAGAAAGGCAGGCGGCCTCTGGAAGTTGGAAAAGGCAGGAAATGCTTTCTCCCTGGAGCCTCTGGGAAGGAACGCAGCCCCGCTGACACCTTGATGCTGGCACCGTGGGAATCTGATTTGGGACTTCCGATAGTAAATGAGTGTTCTTTGAAGACACTACATTTGTAGCAATTTGCTACAGCAGCGCTAAGTGACTAACGGACCAGGGACTCACTGGAGGTTTTCCAGCAGGGGGCCACAGGGATCAGACTGGAAAGATGATACTGGGCCCAGGGTGGCTAATGAGGCGGAGGATGCAAAAGTGGAAGCCGAGCGACTAGAAGTCCAGGGAAGAGACCGTGGTGGCCTTTGCCACAGTGCTTTGCGGTGGAACACAGTTCTTAGAAAACCAGTACCCAATGGACCAAAAAGGGCAAAGGAGAAGGCCCCTTTAGCCTCCTGGGGACAAGAAGACTTGGACAAGCCCTCCTGCTGGCCTCCTGTCCCACAGAGCGAGCCACAGAGGAGCCTGAGGAAAGTGCTGAGACGGCCAGGGCTTAGAGAAAACAGGGAATGTTTGGAAATAGGTCCGAACAACATACCATGATGCTCTTGGAGAGGCAGACATTTGGGCAACAAGATTTCCCTTCTCCTCAAGTTAATCTGTAAATTTTTACAAAATTCATTGGGATTTTTTTGGAAAATGTGACTCTGAAGTTCATCAGAAAGAGTAAATGTGTGAGAATCATCAAGAAAAAAGTTGAGCCCCAGTCAGTCTGGCTCGGTGGTTGGAGCGTCGGCCTGGCGACTGAAGCGCAGGTTCGATCCCTGGCCCTGGTCGGCCCGCCAGCGAGAGGCAACCGTAGATGTGTTCTTCTCACATCGATGTTTCTGTCTGTCTGTATCTCTCTCTCCCCCTTCCACTCTCCCTGAAAAGCAATGGAAAAAATATCCTCAGGCAAGGATTGAAAAAATAAGAAAAGAATGGAAAGAAAAATGGCCCTGGCCAGGTAGCTCAGTTGGTTAGAGCGTTTTCCCAATAAGCCAAGGTCGTGGGTTTGATCCCCAGTCAGGGCACATTCAAGAAGCAACCAATGAATGAACAACAAATACATGTTTCTCTCTTTCTCTCTCTTTTTCTCTCTCTCTCCTTTCCACTCTCCCTCTCTCAAATCAACTTAAAAATATAGTAAAAACTTAAAAAAAAAAAAAAAAGAGTGTTTTACCTTAGCAGAAATCAAAATATTGTAAAGCTACATAATTAGAAGTGTGGTACTAGTGTGACAATAGATAAATGGATCCATGGGATGGAGGAGATTCAAGAAATAGACTCATGTATACATGAGAATTTAATGTTTGATAAAAATGGTACTTTATTGTCCCATGATGTTGGAAAACAAAGTTTAATCGCTATTTCACATCTTTTACAAAAATGCATTCCAGATGAATTAGAGATACTATCATAAATAGTAATAGCCATAGATAGTCTTCAAGAAAATACCAATGAATATTTGTGTAAGCCTTTGTAAAAATGATACCATAAAAGAAATGCCTGACAGGTCTGGGGTATAGGAACCCTTCAAATATCATGACAAAAAGATACCAGTAACTCTGAAGGGCAAAATTGTGAAAATAAAATTTGCAATATTTACTATACTGTAAAAAAAACCCACAACTTTTTAACGAAGAAAAGATGAGCAACTGAATAGAAAGATGATAAAAGAACATAAATGGGCAATTAATAAAGGACATGTCAATGATCAATAAACTTAGGTGACGATAGCTAACTCACAAATAACCAAAGAAGTTTGAGTAGAAACAGTTGTGAAATGTTGTATTTTTTTGTTTGCATAAAAGACTAGCAAAAACTAAAAAAAAAAATAATTCTCAGAGTGGCAGGGGTGTGGCGAATGGGTGACCCAAGGTCACATTGTGACTTGCAGGCCCTGTACACATTTGCCATCATGGGTCCCCTCTCCATAAAAAATATGAAAAAGTATATTTTATAGCTGCATTGGTATATAAAATATACACTCCAATCTGGATCCATTGTATATATTATAAAGTCACTGGTATTATATTTTTTCTCCTGATTTTATTTTATTTTATTTTTATTTATTTATTTATTTTATATATCTTTATTGACTTCAGAGAGAAGAAAGGAGAGGGAGAGAGAGAGACAGAAACATCAATGATGAGAGAGTCATTGATCAAACCCGCAACCGGGCATGTGCCCTGACCGGGAATCAAACCCCGATCGCCTGGATCCCAGGTTGACGCTCAACCCCTGAGCCACGCCCAGCTGGGCTCTCCTGATTTTAAAAGAAGTGAAAATATTTTCACGACCCCTAAAACTATCATGGGCCCTCGGCAATGTGCCTACTCTGCCCAGTGGCTAGGTCAGCCCTGAGATGACCTCGCAGGAATTGGCAGGTCTGTAAATGTTTTTGGTGAATAATTTAGACACATCTATCAAAATTCAAAATGTGCCTTACTTTAGATTCATTAGTTACATTTTTAGGAATTTATCCCATAAAAATACCCACACAAATAGGCAACCATACATGTATAAAGAAGCTCATTGCATCCTTCATTGCTTGTAACTGCGGAAGATTTAAAACAGGCTACATATCCAACTTCAGGGAATGGTTACATTAATTTCGGCAAGGAAAAGGCAGGTATATACGGACTGATGGGGTATGTTCACTTCGATACACCTTAGAGTTAAAAAGTCAGATTAGAGCCCTACCAGCTTTGTTCAGTGGTTAGAGCATTGGCCCGAGGACTGGGGGGTCCCGGGTTCGATTCCAGCCAAGGGCACGTACCTCTGTTGCAGGCTCAATCCCTGGCCCCATTCAGGGCATGTGCGGGAGGCAACCAATAGATGTGTCTCTCTCACATCAATGTTTCTCTCTCTCTCTCTCTTTCTCTCTCTCTCTCTCTCTCCCTGCCCCCCCTCCACTCTCTCTGAAAAGCGAGGATTAAACAAAACAAAACAACACAAAACAACAACAAAAGTCAGATTAGAGAATAATACTTAGTAAGGTCACATCAATGTTTTATATATATATATGCACACTTTTCCGAAGGCTGGAAAGATATACTACAAACTATCAATAGGGTTATCTCTAACAAAGCAGAGTTGAGGAATACCTCTGAATTGCATACATTTTTCTAATGAGTATTTATTATTTATATAAAAAGAAATATTTACATTTTGAAGAGAAAAGGAAATATTTCTCCTTTTTGATCAAGCCTGGAGCTCCTCTGAAGAAAGTGATCTTCACACAGAGCTGAGAAGCATTAAAAGATGCTCAGAGAGCCAAGTTGGTTTCTTCCCCAGCCATCCTGCAAATCAGAAGGGCGAGAGGCAGCAAAGTTTTCAAAGCACTGAAACCAAAACCAAGCAAACAAAAACCAAAGGCGACTGAGTTTTCCTCGTGAAACTATAGTTGGCTGGTGCCCAAATCACAAGATGAATCTTTTACCTGGTCCTCCAAACGCTTCCCCGGCTCCTAAGCCAGTGGTCACCCGAAGGACAGGCTGGGACTGAGAAACAGAGTTCCGAGCGACAGTTAGGGGAGTGGCAGTTGGGGTGTGGGGTTGTCCAGGGAACCCTGCTACCTCGGAGAGGGGCTCTGAGCAGGTCCCTTTGCCCAGCCTCATGCTGGTCAGAGTCACGGCCAACGTCCTTCGAGCTGAGTCCCAGGGAGGCTACACCTGAATCTCCAACACGGATTCCAGGGCAGGGAGTGTCCTGAAGCCTCAGCAACAAGTGTCTGGAGGGTGTGGCATCCTGCCCCCGGTGCCGTCACCTCTTTCCTTGCAGGGGGAAGATGCTCATGAAACTCAACCAGGGATTCTGAACAATTCTTTCAAATTGTAAGGCTCGTTAATGACAAAGCAGGCGTTGGCTGTCCTGGTGGACGATGAAGACCTTGGTGCCTCCCTCGGGACCGGGAGATGTCTACCCCGAGCTGCAGGCCAACGAGGAGCCGGGGAGGCCCGATTCGGGCTGTTGGTGAGAGAAGTCAGATGACGAGGTGGGGGGCAGGAGGGGGGCAGTGGGAGCAGACACTTGTCCCGAATGGAGACGATTGCTGAGAAGAGGCTCCTTGATCTATGAACCCACATATTAAACTGCTAATTAGTGCATGCCTGCTGCGTGCAAGGCAACAGAAGAAACACAAAGAAGAAAAGGCAAATGTCCTTTGCTCAGCGTGCTCATAGTGCGGTGGAGGAGACACGGGTACAAAGGGGGACCCTAAGGTAGGAGGAAGTCTGAGTGGGACCTCATGCTGGCCCCCGGGGGGAAACGGAGCAGGTCAGCAAGAACACCTGCCTTGGCTCCCTTCCCTCGCACTTCTCGCAGTTCCATAGGTCTCTTTCTCTCTGTCCAGTCCACAGTCTCTCTCTTTAGTTTGCTAACGTTAATAGGCAACTTGAGTCAATTACATTCTTGCCAAGATTTCCTGTGGGCAGGCAGGGAAGGGGTGTAATGAATGACTTGACTAGTCTGGTCAAAAGAAATGCAGCTTCCTCCTCCTGTTTTATCAGCCTCAGAGTTGGCATTGACCAGATGTGAAAGTTTCCTACGACCTCACATGTACTAACTCAGCGAAGCCCCACATCAGCCCTGTGAGGTGTAATGACAGTAAGTAAACGGAGACCCAGTGGCACAATGCTCCTGAGGTATCCAGAACAAGTGGGCCGGGGATCCTGCACTGCCCATCTCACCAAGACGCAAAATGTGGGGAATAGTGTCTCTCTGAAACAAGCTTGTGATATATTTTATGCACCTGCTTTTTTTTTTTTTAAGAGTTAATTAATGAACCATGCAACACCTAAATCATGCAAATTGGCCTACATGCTGACCCTGATAATCCATCCCCTGTGGAACTCGGCTTTCTTTCCCTTAGTGTTAATTTAAGACCTTGGAAGGTATTTATTTCTGTCTTCACAGCTCCCTCTCCCCATCCATCTCTGCCTGCTATCCCTCTGCTGGCACCTCAGGAAGCCCTGGCCTGACCAACTATGGCTCACGGTCTTCCTGAGGCACCCAGGAGGGAGAGGAGGATTGGGTCCAAGCCTTCGCTGGCAGTGCCTTCCTGAGCTTGTCTCCTACCCATGTCCCTCACCTCCCTGCTGGGCCCTCGATTGCCTTCTCAGTCTAACAGTCCTACTTGTCCTTGCAGTGCACTGCTCTAGGTCACTCCAGGACAGCGATTTGCAACCGCGTGCTGCAAGAATGCTTTACCATGCGACACCTGACTAGTCAGGGGCACTGGCCTCTTAGATTGTCAAATAAAAACATGACCACAGCCAACACAGCCATAGCCGTCCGGTGTAAATGAATTAAAATTATGCCTATATTTTTTGTCAGATCGGCAAAAGATACCGTTTTTGGCGTGGGGCAGAATTTTAGGAGTTTATGTGTGCCAGGAGATGAAAAGGGCTGAAAACCCCTGCTCTGGCCCATCTGCACAAGAGCTTTGTCACGCTACAGCTTTGCTGCTTGAAGGAGAAGCCCGCGTACTGACTTACATCTGCGTGCCGAGCACAGCACCTGGCCAAATCCGCACGCAGCCCTGCGGTGGGCAACGCCACCCGCACTTTGCAACGGCACCGAGCTGCGCCCGGGGGTTCAGCAGCCCGTCCCCGAGCCCGGCACACGCGCCGTCCACTGGGCACCACCGCCTCCAGTGAGGGGACTCTCGGGGCCTAGAAACCGCCTCCCCTTCCTTTCCCATCTGATGCTTCCCCCTCCCTCCCGCTTCTTTTTCTCTTCCGCCTCGTTATTGTTCTGATTAATTTTAAAATGCATGCCTTTGGTGAGAAAATTTTAAACAATACAAAATAGTCCAAAATAAAAAGTGAAAGTCTCGTGTCCTCACCACCTCTGTTGCCACCAATTGTCAACAGTTTCTTGTCTAAGTGACTAAAAAAACCGCACCCGTCACATACATGTAGCTTTTAAATCTACATAAAATAATCAGACCTTTTTTTTAAATCTTCACCTGAGGATATTTTTTCCAAGAGAGTGGAAGGGAGGGGGGGGGAACCACATCGATGCGAGAGAGAGACACGTCGAGTGCTTGCCTCCCCTCGGGCCCCACCGGGGTCAAGCCTGTAATCAAGATGCTGCCCCTTGGTCAGAACTGAACCCAGGAGACTCTAGTCCATGGGCCAGCGCTCCAACCACTGAGCAACCGGCTAAAGCTAAAGTCATCATATTCTATATACTGTTGTGTAAATTGTTTTTTCCCCCCTCTTTTCAAAAAGTTATATTAGCCCAGCCGGCATGGCTCAGGGGTTGAGCATCGACCTAGGGTCCAGGAGATGGAGGTTCAATTCCCAGTCAGGGCACGTGCCCGGGTTGCAGGCTTGATTCCTGGTGGAGGGTGTGCGGGAGGCAGCCAATCAATGACCCTCTCATCATTGATGTTTCTCTCTCTCTCTCTCTCTCTCCCTCCCTCCCTTCCTGTCTTTGAAATCAATAAAGACATATATATTTTTAAAGTTGTATTAAAGCATAATTGACATATAACATTAATCACTTTCAGATGTACACCATAATGGTTTGGTATTTGCATAGATTGTCAGGTGAGCACATATAAGTGCAGTTAATATTCATCACCATGCATAGTTAACAAATTTTTTTTCTTGTGATGAGAACAAGATGTACTCTTTTAGCAACTTTTAAATATGCGATACAGTATTACTAACTATAGTCACCCTGCCCGTGACATCCTCTTGACTTATGTTATAAGTGGAAGCTTATACCCCTTGCCCCCTTCATCCATTTCGTCCATCCCCCACCCTGGCAACCATCAACCTGTTCTCTGTATCTAGGAGCTTGGGTTTTTTTGTTTGTGGTTTTTTTTCTTAGATTCCACATATAAGTGAGATGATTTAGTATTTGTCTTTCTCTGTCTGACTTACTTAACTTAGCATAATATCCTCAAAGTCCATCCATGTTGTCCTAAATGGCAAGATTTCCTTCTTTCTGATGGCTGAATAATATCCCATTGTGTGATAAAGAACATTTTCTTTATCCATTTATCGACTGATGAACACTTTGGTTGCTTCCACATATGGGCTATTTTAAATAATGCTGCAATGAACATGAGTGCGTACATATCTTTTCAAGTTAGTGTTTTCATTTTCTTCGGATAAACAAACACCCAGAAGTAAAACTGCTGAATCGTATGAGAGTTCTATTTTCCATTTTTTGAGGAAAGTCCGTACAGTTTTCCATTGTGGTTGCACTAATTTACATTCCCACCAACAGTGCACAAGTTTTCCTTTTATCAACATGCTCAGCTCTAAAACATATGAGGAGATATCTGACTGTGATTTTTTATTTGCATTTCCCTGATAATTAGTGATGCTGGATATCTTTTCATGTACCTGTTGGCCAGCTGTATGTCTTCTTTGGAAGATGTCTATTCAGGTCCTCTGCTCCTTTTTAAAAATCAGATTGTTCGTTTTTTTGCTATTGAGTTACATGAATTCTTTATATTTTTTGAATATTAACCCCTTACCAGATACATGATTTGCAAAATATTTTCTCCTGTTTGGTAGGTTACCTTTCCATTTTGCTGATGGTTTCCTTTGCTGTGCAGAAGTTTTTTAGTTTGATGTAGTTCCACTTATTTACTTTTGCTTTTGGTGTCAGTTTCAAAAAGAAATCATTGCCAAGACTATCTATGAGCTTGAGTTTTTTATTTTAGTTCTTTTTTTAAGATTCCATTTAGATGTCAAGGAGCTTGTTTTCTTCTAGTTTTATGGTTTCAGGTCTTATGTTCAAATCTTTAGTCCATTTTGAGTTAAATTTAGTTTAGAGTAGGAGATAGTGATCCGGTTTCATTCTCTCACATGTGGCTGTCCAGTTTTCCTGACACCATTTATGGAAGAGATTGTCCTTTCCCCATTGTATATTTTTGGTTCCTTTATTATAAATTAACTGACTATATATGCATGGGTTTATTTTTGGGCTATTCTGTTCTATTGATCTTTGTGTCTGCTTTTATGCCAATACCATACTGTCCTGATTACTATAGTTTTGCAATACAATTTGAAATCAGGAAGTGTTATGCCTCCAGCTATGTTCTTCTTTCGCAAGATTGCTTTGGCTATTTGGGGTCTTTTGTGGTTCCATAAAAATTTTAGGATTATTTGTTCTATTTCTGTGAAAAATGCCACTGGAATTTTGATAGGGATTGCATTGAATCTATAGATTGCTTTTGGTAGCATGGACATTTTAACAATATTAATATTTTCAATCCATAAGCACAGAATAGTTTTCCATTTATTGTGTCTTCCTCAGTTTCTTTCATTAATGTCTTGTAGTTTTCAGTATACAGTTCTTTCACCTCCTTGGTTAAATTTATGGCTCCCCTTCCCTTAATGATATCTGAGATCTTTTCATATCAGCATATGTAAGAGACTTGAGTAGTTTCCTGTCTCACTCATAATAAAATCCAAAGTCCTTACTTTGGTTGATATAACCTTGATGTCAAAGCCTGACAAAGATATTATAAGAAAATAAAATTATAAGCACATCTCACTCATGAACATACATGCAAAAATCTTAAAATATTAGTTAACCAAATCCAGTAATATGTGAAAAGGATAGTACATCACGACCAAGTTGGATTCATTCTAGGAGTTTCAATGTTAACATTCAGGAATCTGTGTAATCCACGTTAATAGATAAAGATAAAAAAGCATTACGATCATCTCGTAAAGAAAATTACTTGATAAAATTCTACATTGGAGACGAAAATAGAAATAGAAGGAAACTTCCTTAACATGACAAAGGGAATCTACAAAATCTACGGTGTTAGAAGTCATTAGAGTGGTTCTTTCCGTATATAAGGCAAATGTGGGGTAGGGGGAGACCCTTATGGTAGGAATGTTCTATTTCTTAATTTGGTTGTCCAATTGTGGTTACTTTGTGGTAATCAAGCTGTGTAGGAATGAGTTAGGTACTTTACAGTATGTGTATTATACTTCATTTTCAAAGATTGTAAAAAAAATTGACAAGGAAAAAATGTAGTTCTTCCTGATTATCTCAGAAGGGTAGAAGGTATGACCAGGGAGCTGCCAAGAACAGGAGATGGAAATTAGCAGAATGAGGAGAAATGGAGAAAATATGGAGTTCAGTGGATATGCCTGTAGCTATTTGCCCCAACCAGGAGAGTGTCCTTTGGTGGAGAGGAAGCTGTTGAGCCAGGGGCCTAAGTTTTCAGTGAAGAGATGGAGTAACTTGGAGATGAGATGCAGAGGGGAATGCATTACCAGGAGAAAGGAATTAGGGAGCATGAAATTTCATACCTAGATGCCCCTCAGAGTGTATTGTTCTAAAATAAGGAAGCAACATTCTTTACCTGTTCTCCTCAACCACTTTTATAGTCTTAATCCCCAGAACGGCCCTGGAAAGTAGTTAATATTCTGTTTTACCATTGGGGAAAGTCAGGCTCACAGCGAGGATGGCGGAGCCACAGCCCAGGCCCTAGGGCTGCTGTAAAGGCCCGTCTGGATGTGATGCCAAGAGCAACCACTGTGTTGGCAGCCAGTCCAAATCATGGTTCCTCCGTTGACCAGTTAACAGTAAAACAGGCATAATAATATCTTGTTCCACAGTGGTCATAAGCACAAAGTGAGATTTTGTGACATCATAGGCATTCAGTACATTTGTCTTCCCCATCTCCTGCTCAACCCACACCACCAACACCACATCAAGATCTCTCCAAAAATGTCAAGTCCAAAAAACCCAGTTTGGTGAAAACAGGTGTGCAACCACAACTTTACCCAGTGAAGCTGAGGAGAGACTCCTTTTCCTGGCGAGGCCTGTACTTACTAGACAGTAACAGAGGGGGCTGGCTTTTCACAATGAGCTTGTCTTAAGCCAGCTGTCCTGGAGGGTGGCCCAGGAAGTCCCAAGACCCTTCCTGGGAGTCCGGGGGGTTCGATTGGTTTCCCAACAACGCCAAGCCAGTTATTTGCCTTTTCCACTCTCATCCTCTCACTGGCATACTGTTCAAGTACGATGCCATCACCCAATGGCTACCCAATGGCTAATGAATGTGTGCTTGACATCTGAGGCTGAAATGTCTGTTGCAGCTCCTGACACATACACGTCCATGCATATAATCCATATAAAACCAGTTAAGTATTTGGAGGTCTAAACTATAACTTTTTTAAACTTTATTTTTATTGTTGACACTATTACAGATGTCCCACTGCC